GCAGCCATTTTACGTATATTTCTGCCACGCACGCGCTCAATTCTGCTAAATAGCAGCGAGGACGGCGAATTCCTTACACAAATTCTATCGGCTCTGTTAGCCGCCAAATCGAACATCATACAAAATTCAATTTGCACCTTCTCTATGTTTTAAGTTCTCTGGAGAAGCCACAAATGGCACATGTGAACATAAATGACTCTGTTGTTAACATAAGACGGCTATGTTAGTTGACATAACGTAACAATACAATAACGTAATAATAATAAATTGTTAAGACACTTAAATTTTAATTATCACTCGTTCTGTGGATCAAAATCGACATTATATGTATATAGAAGCTTTTTCCCCCAGCCGATCGGCTTGTCTCACGTAATGCCTAATATAATTATATATAAAATGTTTTGCCATACAATTTCCTGGAAGGATTATTGTCAAAACTTTCAATAAATCAATGGCAAAGAACCCAAAGATCTGATATAGCAAAAAGAGTTTTAATAATAGGCCCAAGTTAGATGTTCGTCACGAAGTTTTTAACGCCCAGAAGGAGCCATGCAAAAGCCCTTATAAAGTATACTGTATACATTATGTATATAAATAACCAATTATCGATCAAATCAAGTTCTTGTATGAAAACATTTTGATTTGACAATATATGTTCCCGAAATTTTAAGTGGAAAATTGTGGAAAGCAAAGCAACAACTGGACTACTGGAGCTCCCGTAAAAGTTGAATGATCACAATGAAAATACAGGTGTTTCTATAAAAGGTTAAATTAGGTTAATCTAGTAGGCCAATAAGTCACGCATACGTTTTGTTTCTTTGCGATACCAGATGGCGTTCAGTTACTGGTTCCATGAGTAGTAGTCATCCCTATTTCCTTAGTGCCTTGCTGCAGACACTCTGGACATTTTCTATATAATAGTATGTTTAAAAATGTCTTTATTCATGTTTTCCCTTCATGCTTAAATCATTTTTAATGGTTTATGTTGCAACATAAGTATGCATGCCTAAATTTGCTATTCTATTTAGGATGAATTTACAGAACAGTAAATTGAGAAGTATTTTCTATAAATTGCAACTCAATTTACAAACAGTCAGATATAACATATAGAGACAACGCCCTTGACTTCAAAATAGAATAAAATCTCTCCTCCATCTATTTCTTTTATATTTTCTTTCTAACAATCACACTAACTTATAACTTATAACTTTATTTTCAGCATATTCAAAAGGTATTACTTGCCTCGGCTCATAAAATTATGCACGCTTATGCATATCAACAATACAAATCACTGTCATTACATCTATTTGCAACAACAGTGCAAAGGCGTTAACAACAAATTTAATTCAAATTGGCACACGTTCACCTGGGCTAAAATTAAAATGCAAATTTCTACTGAAACAAAAACAATAAATAATTTGAGAAAAGACAAAAAGTTGCATTTAGAAAAGAGCAAAGAGGCGACGCCTGCCACCATCAAAAATAAATATGTAAGTGAAAAATAAAACTTCACCTAAGCAAGCGCAACAAATGCAGTTGACAGGCGACTTGGCCTAGACTTAGAGGCAGCACTCAAAACTCTAAAGTGTGGCAGGCGAAGGCGAAGCGAATAAATTGTCACACCTTCAGCTGGTCGGCTGGTGCGCAGCAAACTGTATGTGATATTTGGTATGTATATGGTATATGTGTATACATGGTGTTGTTGTCAGTTAGGAAAACAAAGTTAGACAAAATTGGGTATAGTTTTTTAAATGTTATTGCATGAAAAACTCTATTATTTACAAGGTGGCACAATATAAGCACTGGCGGATTTCTCGGTCTTAGCATAAAAATGAAAAATATGTATGCTACCGTAGATTACATTCCAAAAATTATTAAAAAAAAAAAACTCTAATAATTTTCATTTAAGGAAATATTATATAAAAACTGGATCTCAACTTATTTTAATATTTATATAATTATTTTAARTAACCTTTAGCTAAGTTACATGTTTTTACAATATTACGGGTATATTTTAAATTAAAATGTTCATATATTTATTAAAAATATGGATATTTACAATCGAATACCCAATTAATGCTTTTTGAATGACAAAATTAATTTTATATATTATTATTGCAAAAWTTTCCGATAAAAAATTCCAAAAATGACGTCACACAAAAATGTGTTTATAAACTTTTTAAGTATTCCTGAAGCATCAACGATTTTTCTAACAGCATCAGTAAAAGATGCTTAAGATTGCAAAAAAATATGAAACAAAAATAAATATAGATCCAACCAACTACACTGGTCAACAAAATTTAAATTTTTTGTCTCATGAAAACTCATACATATGTATATACTCATTTGTAAATGAAAACGTGAGGCATTTTTCTGACATCCAAATACAATAGATATGCCAGGGAGAAAACAAAAATTCTAACCCATCGGAAACAAAGTTAAAATATTACAGGAAAAATAATTTACAGGCCATCTGAGGGAGGGAAAGGAGAAAAAGGCAACGTTTAATACGTTTTGTTTAGTGATGAGCCCCATTTCATTCAAAAGTGATGTCGGTGAGAACGTAACCATCAATCGCGACCGTTATCACGGCATGTTAACCGACAATTTGATGCCTGAAATTGAAGCTCATGATCTCGGCGGGTGTTTCAACAATCACATCACATCAATCAATGGATTTGTTGGGAGAACACTTCGGTGAGTAGATAATTTCACGTTCTGGGTCAGACGATTGGCCACCAAGATCGTGTGATATCACACCGTTGGACATTTTCCTGTGGGGATATATAAAGTCTATGGGGACAATCCCGCATTATTCGCCAATTGCCTCAACGGATGGACCATCTGAGACGTTTGCCAACATTTGAAAGAGATAATCTTCAAACAATAAATACCCAAAAATATTCTTTTAAATAAAAATAAATATTCCCCGAAGTTCTGTAAGTTGTCTTTAAAAAAGTAAGGAACCGATACATGATATATATGTAAACTAGACTAGCATGATAAATTTTCTCAAAAAATGCGAGCAAAGTCCCAAAACAAAAAACTTGATGATATTGAAACAAAATTATTATATATTGATACACCAACAAAAATCATTACAAAGTTCATGTGACATAAACTGTCAGTGTTATTAAAACATAAGGAATTAACATATTTGAAAATATCAGGAAGTTAAAACAAGTTATGCATTATGTATGTATGTATACTAGATTTTTTGGTCTTTTAAGCATCACTGAATTAAAAAATTTATACAATTCCGGGATTTGGTTTTCCTCAGAGACTGGGTATCAAAAGAAGACATAACTGCAGAAATCTGTCATAAAATTGGTGAAAGTTCGTAAGCAATCGATAGAAGATCGTTCAGGGAAAAACTGTTCTCCAGAGTTTCAACTCAATCAAAACATCACATATTATCTGATCTATTAGCAAAAAATAACTGTATAGTATTATAAACTTCAGAAACGTTTGGCAATAATTTGAATAAAACATGACTGGCACTGACGATTTATTAATTTCACGAATTAATAAGAAGAAATGAATACAACTCAGAACCTAAAAAATTACCTTAACTATAAGATGCATATAGTCAAATACCATATCGCTCAGATCGATGGACCCTTTAAATCAAGTTTACTCTTATTTATATTTCCTATATTTGGGACATTATTATAAATTTATGTAAATCAAATATGTTGTACGCAAATTGCTATGAAACCCACAGCCACAGGCTTGTTATTGTTAGGCGTGGAGTCAATGTTTGCGAAGCACTAATCGTTTTATATTTATTTGAAATTCACACATAAACTGCACCTTCGGTCAACCAGCATGATTTAGTAAGGAAAATAAAGAGAAAAACGCATTGAGTTATCAATTATATAAATACTTCTTTATAAGACCGTTTTCTACAACAATCGGCAAGCCCCTTGTAATAAGCCAAAGCAAAAAGGAAAACCACTTCGAACCATTCAATTTTAGTCAACATGATTAGAGCTTGCTTAATGCATGCTAAATATGGGGTTAATATTTCACTTTTTATCATTTGTCGGATTCGATTTGACTTAACAAATATGAAAATTTTCGATTAATTAAATAAACACTAATTTTTTTATTATCAACTATTATTATTATTTCTTTAATAGCATAAATTCTACAATTTCTGTCTTTAAACTTTTAAACTTAACTTAACATAAAACTCGCTCAGCCGGAATTATTTGAGCTCCACGAAGTAGAACTAGCATGAGCAAAGGCCACACCATGTCCGTTATTTTGACCATAGTTACCATTTTGCTGACTCCAAGCGGACGAAGCAGATTGGGCTGCTGCAGCTGCGCCCAAAGGTGAATATGCATTGTACTGACCGCCTTCAATCCAAACAGGGCTCGCAGGGACTGGTGGTACAGCACCGCCACCATGAACTGTCAATTGTTGTGCTCTACTTGCAGCTTGCGCGTTCTCCTCATGCTGCCATAATGTAGATGAGCTATGATCGATAGCTGTGGAAGCTGCAGCAGCATTCTCCACTTGTGCATAATGGTTATTGGCGTAATTCAAAGCGGGAGCTGGACGTTCATCACTTCTAAAATGATGTGTTCTTCCACCGTTAGCATTCAAGAAATGATTCATGTGGGCAGGAGCATATTCTTGAGAATTGTAGACATTGCTAGCGCTTGAAACCGCCGCTGACTCGCCGTGTAATTGTATCGTTGGATTATATGCTTCTGCGTAGACATTCGGCATTGGGGCCATGCCCATCGGCTGCACGGTGTGTATGCCGCCACAGTGTCCACAATCCATGTTGACACCGAACATATGGTTTTTGACTTTTCTATACAGCTCTTTGCTTTTCAGCAAAGGACTGGCATATGCCATCACTAGGCTAAATGAAAACATAAAGAGCTGTAAGCAAAAATATTTATTTTAAGTAAAAGTGTATTTGCAAATGTTGAAAAAAAAACTTACCATGCGCATTTTGTTGTTAAGTTGCTGAGGAGTGAAGAGTTGTTTACTACTACGCGAGTCAAAGGTTGATTTATGTTTAAGGTCGTCCGTGCCTGTTGCAAGGCTTTTATACCACATATTTGTGAACAGGTAGAAATAATTCGGTGTAGTGGAAGACCACAGGTTTTAAAATAATAATTACAAGGATTTTGGCATCTGTGGGCATGCGGCTGAGAGAGTAAACTATATATCAATATGTATATTATGCGCTCATACCAGTATAAATGTGCTTGTGTAAGTATAGATAAATTCATTTAAAACTTGAGTACCTGTGACCCCAGGAATGAAAAACAACTAAGAAAAATCAATTTTGTCTTTATTTACAATGGAAAATCCATAAAGAAAAGAAAAAAAGTGAAAGGTATTGATTTACCTACGGATATTTATGTGCACGCGTATTTAGGTAAACAAAAAATCATTTATCGGCAACTTAAGTATAAGTATCTGTATAGAATTCTTAGTTACCCAAGAAAACTTACCATAAAACACTTTACGACCTTTGAATCTAAATTTAAGATGCATATTTGTATGCAAGGCCTCATATTAAAATATAATATATTAAAATATGTATATATATAATTATTCAAAAGTCATTTTGGAAAATGCTCGGGCGATAAGCTAGTCAATTTTAAAAAAATTTTCTCCTTAGTTACATTTATTATTGATCAAACAAAAAATGTTTTTCCTCATTTTTCGATATTTAATAATAATTAAGTTGCAGCCCTCTAAAATTTTGCCTGAAAAAGCATTTTTGGAGTTTTCTGCAGTTATTACACATTCTATCACTATCAAAAAAATTTTCGGAATATTATATATCTAGTTCTCCTCAAAATGGATTACCAGTTTTTCAATCTAACCAAAAATCAAATCAAAGCAGGTCAAAAATAATCAACCTTTTGGGTATTATTCAATAATTTTTTCCCATTAATGTCTATAGTTGTCGCAATCTCACGATAGATCATAAGATGATCTGGCAATATGAGTTTGTACACATCATCAATAGTTTCCGGAACAACAACTGCTTTTGGGCGACCTTCACCATACCATCGATAAATACTGATCTTTGATTAAGATTCATCGACAAAAATTTAACCAATTTTATCGTAAAACTTTTGAAAAAAATATCCGTTAGTTGTAAAAATAAATAAGACAGACGAGTGTGTCTGGTGTAAATTCATTTATAAGCTCTCTTTCCATTATCGATCTTTGAACTATTACAAAACAAAGATAAAGACGACAAGCCTGAAATTCAGTAAGTAATTTTTGGAAGAAAAGAAATAAGAGGACTAAATGATTCGCGTCAAATATGTGATGCCAAACGTCGCCAGTGACTCTTTCGAATATTACGATTTTCGACAGAAACATTCTACCAGAGATTTATTGAACTTTACGCATTCATATCGAAAAATGTAGCATAGGACAGAGTCGTATGCTTCACAAACTGTATGGTAAAAAGTAAATATTATAGATAGATATACTAAAAAGTTCCTTGCGTAATTCAATACCGTATATGCGGCACATTTGAAATGCACGTAAAACATTAAACAACATAAAAAATAAGCAAAATTACTGTCACGGTTAACGCTCTTTTTGTACCCAATGACTTAAGAAAAGTTAAAAAAAAAACTTTACACATGCGAATAAAATGCATAGAAAGCCATGGAGTGGGTGCTTCTCATACATACATAACAGACATACATATTTATATTGAATTAGTTATGAACGCAAATAATGAGTTGTTATATAAATATGAATACACTCTAATAACGCTATGCTTTTTACTGTACTAGTTCATTGACGCTGTCGGTAATTATTTAATCGAATTGGAAGAGTTATTGGACATAGCAAAGATATGTGAAGCGAATGTAAGACACATTACAAAAACGCGGGAGTGCTTCACATCTTACATTCGCATCGTTAGTACACATATGCTGAGAATTCCACAAGATTAGTCAGTTGTGGCATCCACAACTAATATATCGAATTTCAAGCTCAAAGCAAAGCTGAATAAAACCGCTTTCAAAGAGATTTGGAAAAATTCTTATATTATATTTAATTACATACAAAGATATGTACATTTTTATATACATAATGAAGAAAGTTAGGAATTCATGTAATACCCTTAGTATAGTATATATTTAGAAAAAAATCCAAAAACATCAGGACATTTTCCATCTGGTCAAATTTGACCTGGACTGCCTTTTTTATATTCCCGTGAAGTTTGATATCTATATGTTAATTTCTCGAAAAGTTTATCTGATGATTTCTACCTTGGAAAAAGATATAACAACGATTTTGCTTAAAGTCTTGTATTTACAAAGGCGTCACGGCTACGGAAATGTAGAAGAAATGTTTTGGGGAGTCTACTTTATCACGAATCAATGGCCTGTGAATGACATAAAGGATTCAGTGATGGTCGAGATGTCAACGAAAATGTCCCTAATGCGAGTCGAGAGTCCATCTCTAAAATAATACTAGAAAATCGTAGGGCTGATCTCGGACGGATAGCAGAGCACTATCTCTTATAGATCGACTCAATTTCGGTTGGTGTTTTCTGTATGAAGGGGGTCAATGCTACTCATAGCAAAATATAAAGCACAAGGTAAAAGAGTCCTCTCTTATAATTTTAAGGTGCATATAATTATAAGGTTCAACAATGGTATTAGCGTAATGTAAGAGGAGTATTCTGAAAGATATACTAGCACCTTCATAGTTGAATTTTTTTGAGGACTTTGGAAGAAGAAAAATGGGACAAAATACCACACACCAAGGCAAGCAAAGCTTTTAGACATAACGATGGTGATTTACCCAAAGTGTAGCGCAGATTTTACATATTGCTTTACATATAGTCACGTATATGACGGTATAGAATAAAACTCTCCTACTTAGCAAAAAGTTATATATTACATTTTTCATAGCTGCAATGAATGTTCGTGATTTACTAATACGTATAATACGTATAATCTCTACCATAAAACCGCAATATGAATGCCGTACCGACATTCTAGGTACTTATATACATATATATATTTTATAGTTAAATATCTAAACTGGAACTGTCAGCGGCACGAGGCAAATCAAAACCAACAACTTAAACCCACTAACAGTTGGGTTCATATCAAGTCACACATAATAAAAAATACACCGAGAAATAAGCCACATGCAACATAATAACAGTAACTACATATGTGTGTGGTATAAGGTAGAATATACATATGTATGTTATATCATCGCCGCAAATTACATATCGATTTTATTCCGAATATTCCGAATTATAATTTTAAACTAATTTTTTCCAAGCAGTATTGGTAATTGTAATAAAAGTTGATCAACTCACACATACACAAGCCAACTTTAGTGCCCATTGTCCAGTATAAACATACCAGTATATAAAAAATTTGCCGCAGAGTATACAAAATCAGCAAGATTGCTCCAGTTAATTGATTTCAACAGGTGGCAGGTTTCATGCCATTCCTAAAATCCGTTTACTGGTTGCAATCATTTGTGGCCAGCAAGCAATGTGCCTTTCACCATGTGCTGCTGTTGCAACAAAGCCATTGGACTTTGAAGTACATAGAGCAGCACTAAGTTAAACATACATTTTTCCATAGATTTATACGTATGTATGTATGTATGCCTGCATATACATATATAAATTTTAAGCATCAATGGTACCAGTTTTCTCGCCCACATAATGCAATGCAATCAGCAAATTCACTGGAGACGTGAGTGACCAAGCTGGCTTTTGCAACATCTGGGCAATAAACTACTATTGCTGATACTGATACAGTTTTATTGATCTGATTAGATAGATTCGCAGCACTAAGTTGGATAATTTAGTTTGGTTTTCATACACAGAAAATGCTTCTAATTCAATAATTAAATGTGTGAAAATTATGCCATAATTTAATTACTTTTGTATATTTATATTTAGAGGCTAAAATCTAGTTTAGAAATAATATCGGCGAATTATATGCTTTCATGTGTTTAATTTGCTTAATAATTGTAAAAAAGTCTAGTTGCTCGCTTGGAGTTTCTGCTCTCACTATTATTACATAATCTCTTCTCTAAACAGTTCGGGAATGCATGTAATATCATTCCCACTATGAAAGTAGTTAAGTCAGCCACCACTACTGGAAAGGTTTGCTTCATAACTGCTATTGAACCTATTGCAGAGAATGTATATCAGAGAACGTCTATCATAGAGAAGGTTCACGCAGAGAACGTCTATCATAGAGAAGGTTCACGTTTCAAATATCGTAACTTTTCGAAGGGGTACTCGGCAGAGATGGCCCAGTTTCACCACAGACAAATTATAAGCGTGTTTCACCACGAAAATAGCAGAATTGAGCATTTTCAGTGTTAAATATGAGAATAATGCTAATTCCAATGTTAACAAATTTACGCCTAGAATTCGTTTCTTATTCGTTTATATGATAGACGTTCTCTGTGTATATTATACGTTCTCTGCTATATATTTGATAAGATGCTTAAGGGCACCATCTATCGAGTGAAGCAGTAAATTGTGTAATCAACACCAATTACTGGTATTCAAATGCGCAAGATGGCGCTCCTATTTATATTTAAAGCGAAATGCGAGAAATAAACCGTGAAGCTGCAAAAAATGTGTGTGTGTGTTCAATGCTACAAATACATTTCCGATTCCTTATTCCTTTGTAAAATGATAAAACAACGGTGGAGTAAATTCAAGAGAGGAAGAAATTGACACTCAATCTAAGTTTAGTCAAATCACCAAAAAAATTATACCTCAAAAAATAATACATATATTTTATCATATATTTAAATTTAGATTATTTCACAAAAAACAGATAGAAAAGTCTAATTATTATTATATTACATAATTTAAAAAAAAATTCACTTAAATATAAGCACAATTTTAATTACATATATTATATTCTTTCAAATTTAGTAAATATGAATGTATACAAGTACGGTTGAAATATGTGTATTTTAGTTATATACATGTTCATGCGTTTTCTATAGGAATATGTTCGCATAAAAACTGTATTTGCATATAAAAACACTCACCTGTACATATATTTCCTCACATGTGTATATGCATGTATGTAAATACAGCTAGAATTTACATTTATAGTGCACACTTTACGAAATGTTACACATACGAACGATATCATACACGACGCGAACCGCACACGATGCACCGAGTTTGCAAGATGAAACATGAACTAATTTGCCAATCAATTCATAAAATATACAAACTATTGAATGAACGCGACATTTTATGATAGATATAATAATTTCGAAACACTGATGCAAAGGATTATTATAATATAATTGACGATAGAAACGCACTAATTTCACTTTTTTATTTTGCCTGCTGGTGCGTTGTCCTTTTTTACTTTTTACAATACGCATTTATTGCAATAGGCAAATTTTTATATATTTCTCACTTTATTTTTACTATAACACACATTTTTTTTATTACTTTCAATTATATTTTATTAATTTAACACATTTTGGCACTACCGACCTACAATTGCATCAGCACGATTCGCGAATAAAGATCCAACTGTAATCTATTATTTCTCTACAATTCACAAGTCACTCTCTCAGTCACATTTACACTAACAAATCTCAACAGAAGTACGATGTAGTACAGGATGATATTACACATACGAACGATAGCATACACGACTGGAACCGTACACGATGTACCGAAATTGCAGGATGAAACATGAACTAATTTGCCAACCATTACATAAAATGTACAAACTATTCAATTAATGGTACATTTTATAATAGATATAATAATTTCGAAACGCTGATGCAAATTAATATTATAATATAATTCGCGATAGAAACGCACACATAAACACAGAGCCGTATTGCACACGCACAAATTTCACTTWTGCCTGCTACCACATGTTCTTTTTTACTTTTTGCTATACCCATATATTGCAATGGGCACATTTTTAGATATTTCATACTATTTTTACTATAAAAACACATTTATTTTATAACTTTCAGTTGTATTTTATTAATTTAACACATTTTTTGCACGCCCGATATACAATAGCATCAGCACGATTCGCGAATAAAGATCCAACTGTCATCTATTCTTTCTCTACAATTCCGTAAGTCAATCTCTCATTCACATTCACACTAACAAATCTCAACTGTCGTTTGGCATTTACTTTTCCGTTTCCTTATGCCTTTTCATTCGAGAAGTACGTTATGAAGTACAGGATGATTCATGCATCTTTTAATTTGTATTGTACCAATGGTTGCACATAATAACTTAAAATAGAAATTGTACAATATTTACTAAAATGACTGAATATTGTTATTGAATAAATAAATGTAACATGATTATTAATTTTTTTAAATTGTATTGCCTAGTTAAAACATGTAATTATTTTGATTTGAAATGTAATTAAATATAATCCAAAGTATTGATGGCTAATTGCGCTAGATGGCGCAACTCGATTATCTTGTCAAAATGAATTGTATAACTACGGAAGAAAATGTATAACTGCGGAAGTGTATTAGCAATTTCCTCAATGTATGCGTGAAGAGAATAAGTAAAGGAGAGAATAAGAGGAACAAGAATTAAAACTCATTTGAATCTGTGCTGGTCAGTCGAGTTGGTGCATTGTAACTCAAAGTAAATATTTAATTATTTGTGAAACTGAAAATTAAATATGTATAAAATAAAGTAAAACTCACAAAATAATGTGTTTTAGTTTTAAAGAAGCTTAATATATTGAATATAAATGTGGCTAAAAGCAAAATATTGATATGCAGCAAGCAATTGAAAAAGTGTAAATTGTGCCAAAACCATGGCGTTCGTTGCAGCTGCCACAAAATGGTTGCTTATTCGGTAGTCGGGATATTCGGTCGTACATTTGCTGACATGGCAATCGGAGTTCGTGATCGTGGGTGTTTAATTGTGTGAATGTAGTGTTTTAAGTATAACCGGCAAATATGTATATCAAACTGGTAACTTCGTATACATCTCTTGGTGGGTAATTTAGAATTATTAATTTTTGCTTTAATGCATGTATATTATAAGTAAATACTATTTTAAAATTCAATGTATGTACATATAGGATAAAATATTTCCGACACATTTTTGTTCTTAAATGATATGGCTTTTCTGGCCACATTTGAGTGGATTTCTTAAGTTCAAAATGAGCTAATCTGATCATTAAACAATTTATGAATTCGTTTAACTAAATAATGGATAATTATAGTAAATAATTGAACTCATATTTAATTAAGCAAAAATCGTTAAAAACAATTCAAGAAAAAGCTTTATATTTATAAAACTTAAAGACACATGTTTGTAATATTTTATTTTATTTTGTTCAAGCGGATATAGCAGGAGCAAATAAGTAATTAGTATTCTGCAACAAATCACATAAAAGATCATTTTTATATATTTTTAATATCCACATATGCATAAGGATTTAGAATATTACGAATTATTAAAATATGTATGAATTTCGAATTGTAATACAATTACGGAACTAAGGACCAGTGATCCCAATCTTGTATTTCATTATATAAAATCAAGCCTGGACTCTGAGTGCTGGAAACTTGCGAACCAGCTAAGAGTATATAATTACGATCCAATTCACCTTCCTTCACACCACAAGCCAGAAGCTTTTTAGCCGCCGTTAAGGCAGAGCGCGACGGCAATTTCTCTGTGGTAAGGTAGACAGTTTATAAAAAATATTTAAATAATTTTAAATGTGATAATCACTAAAATTTACCTGAATAATTCCCAATGAAAGCAATGCCGGTACCATTCATATTATAGCCATAAGTATGTGCGCCACGCACGCCCCAACCAGTACCCTCATAAACAATGCCATCATTGCCGATGAGAAAACTGCAAGCGAAAATATTTATTTATTAGAAAGACAAATATTAAGAAGTTATATTCAGTTCGCAAAGGAGTTTGTAACACTCGGAGGCCCTATGAAATAATACTGTGATCTGTAATTGAAAGTGATATTACTATTAGAGACATCTATGCTATGGTAGTATTTGAGATATGCGACATTTTGTGAGGCTCTAAAAGTGAATTCTTCGATTTTTACTGTGTCCGAATTAATTGAACAAAGAAGTGCGATACATAAATAGTATATATAAAAATGACCGAAATGACCAGTCGATTCAGTCATGCTCGTCTGCCTCTCTAGATATACTAGGCCCTCAATTGTTGAGATATCGATGAAATTTGCTCACGTCCTTTTCTACCCGAAAGCTGCTTATCTGACAGAACCACAAATATTGGACCACTGACTTACAAACTTACTAAATCAAGTTCGCTTTTCCCTGTTTTAAGTTTTTTTTTTTTTTTTTTTTTGTATTACTTACACACCGCCTCTTTGTGCCAATTATAGTGAGCAAAGCAACTAAATTTGGGGGCGTATCTAGAAAACCCAAAATAACCAATATAGGGTTTTAAACAAATACTCACTTAAACCCGATGTCATCATAATCCAAGTCATTCATATGATAGGTTTGGGTATTCTGCAGAATCGATGCACATCTCAAAAACTCACTACACTCACCAGAGACGGTATGATGAATGATAACATAACGTATTGGACGCACTTGATAAGTGAGCGCTTTAGCCGGTTTGCCGCCCCACTGACGTTTCAGTTTAATACGCGGACATTCGGTTTTACCCGCGAAAGTGTGAATAACACAAAATATCAAGCTAAACACTAAAAGCAAAATGTTGTTTCGCATTTCGATGCTTTTTTGTTAGTTGTTTTGTATAGTAGTTATATATATTTTTTTCTACACGTCGTGAATTCTTTTAACTGACCCGTAGGCTTAGGTGTCTCCCGCACAACTGATCGCGTTTTTGCTACTTGGGGCACTGTTTTATTAGCAGTAACTCGTATATGAGCAGTTTACTTTTAAGCGATAATTCTTGATTCTATTCTTGCTCAGCGCTCTCTTCGCGACGCGAGAAATTTGCAAAGCTCGTTATAAACAGTGTGTATGTTATACTATATATACATATGTACATATATAATAATATATGTATGTAAGGTGTTGATTGCAGTAATTGTATGCTTTGTGAGGCGTCACTCTTCGAAACCAGTTCCGGTGTGTGAATACTGCCAGGAATTCTGACAATGATTCTCAGAAGATTCAAACAAATTAACAGTGTCAATATCGTTTAGAGATAACTGTAATGACGTTCAATGCTAACATTGTGGAGATATAAATTAAATTTTTGTAGCAGACTGCAAACTGCTTTTGGTTTTTGATTTTGTGTTCAATAATTAATGATAAAGTTAATTAAACGTAGGGAGGTATTTCCCCTATCTATTTTTTTTATCATTAATATATGATGTGTGAAGAATTTCGAGGAACCGATATATCGTTGAATTTTAAAGAAACAAGTTCGATTTTTTGCCGGTAAAATCGCGTATGCAGTAAATTTTATACGGATCACTCTGAACAATTTTGCCTAAAAGACGAATAGTCAAATTTATCAAAAAATTTTCATTAGTATATCAAAATGTATTAAATTTCATTCGGATATTTCGAAACCTTTAGACGAAATTTTATGCTCCCTAAAAATTGCTTGCTTACGCCATTTTCCGCTTTCTCTTAAATACACTGTAAAATTTTAAAAAAGAGTTTCCAAGCCATAAAGTTGGGATAAAGAGGTAGAGAATAAATGTGAAAAATTTAATAAAGGTTCAAGAATGTAGTTATGCATTAACAAGGAAATCTTTGACAAGTCCTTATAATAGAACAATATATATATAAGTATAATTTTTTATTTACAAAAATT